AGGTTCAGAGACATCAAAATCAAGCAGGCTATAGGGGACAGAATGGGTGTGTGTGTACATGTTCGCACACAGGTCTTGAGTGTAGGGCTCCAACTGAGGTTTCCCAACTGCACGTGGGCCCCTGGTAAGTTATAGGAAATAGTGAAGAAACTGTTTCAAAATAAATATATGCCAAAGGAGAGCAGAATACAAAAGTAACTGCCCAAGAGGCATTTCATCAAGGTATCAGTAGTTAATAGGCCCCCAGTTGGTATCTTTCCTGGAAAATCCAAATGAGGGAGTCTTTTTAGCACCTTGGGAGTAGAAGACTTGACTCTTGCTGGGTCCCTAACACTTGAGGCCCCACTTTTGTGCACATTTCCTCCTGCTGTTCCCATAATAGCTAAAGCAGGGCTGTGAACACCCTGCATAAGCCTTGATGAGCCAGGCCATCTTTTGCATGGCGGGAGCAGGGCCACAGTGCTACTCAGCTCCGGAGGGTGCCATTCACCCTAGAATAGATGACCGGAGCCCCCTGGAGTTGTACACTGGGAGCGTTTATTGTCAATGAAAGGTTGTATAAGGGTGCTGCGAGGAGGTCAAGCTGTTTCCCCTTGCGATAGGCCACTACTCCCTGTATACACACACTCACACACACGTGCACACCAGCACTCACCCTTCTCAGTCACCTTGGTTCCACTTCGGTATGTCGAGCCCAAGGCTCTCTCTTTTTGAGCCCAAACATTGTTTGAGACCAGGTAGCTTTTTGCCTCAAACTGAGGAAACTTTCCCTCTCAGGGCTAAAGTGTAGGCATGACGCTATGGTTAGACATGGTGGGCAGGAGAAGCAGAATGACAACTCTGAGGGAACCAAGAAAGCCCAAAGGGGAGACAAGGTTTAGAGCTGAATCAAGATTGGATTTTGTCATGAAAGGCAGAACTGGCAAAAGCATCATTACAAGGCATTAACCTTGTTACACACAGACGAACAAGCAGAGGCTGGGATTCAGAAATAAATTACACATAATAAACTAGACAGAATAGGCTGAGAGCAACATTAGCGATTATGCCCTAAGGGGAGAGAAGGGCAAGAGAGAAAATAGGCCCCCCAAAAAAGAGTAAGAATAATCTCTGGACACAGGGAGCCGACTGCCCATTTCACCCCTTTTTTGGCTTGACTCCCTAGGTATTAACTTCACTTTGTGAGGAGGTTTCTCTGAAGGCTGTCTTTCTTTTGTTTTCATTTGCTGAAGTGAGCGTAAGAAAGCCACTCAGAGGGCCCCTTTTTCCATTCACAGGGACTTGTCCATTTCTGTGTGTTTCTAGCACAAAAGAATCCATTTCCATTCAGCCAGAGCAGCCCTTAGAGTTTACGTGAGGTCCAAAACGGCTCTTTCCTATTTTCTTCCAGGCTCGCTGTTGTAATTGGCTATACAATCCTGACTGTGGCCAAGGTCCTCCACGGTGAGAGGAACGAGCGCTTAGCCAGTTCTTCGTCCCTCATAGCTGAGGAAAAGCTAGAGTCTGGTGTCATGTCCAACGCGACTCTCATTTCTTGCAGGACTTGCTTTTGGTTACAAGTAACAGAAAACCCATTCAACAGCAACTTAAATCATAACATCTGTTGTTAGTAAATGTTTAAAGGTTGGAAGCTGTGCTCCATGGTGTCCTCAAGAACCCTAGAGCCTTTTTCCCATGCACTGATTTTAGCATGTTGATTTTCATCCTCCATCCTGAATTTCATGGGAGGAAAATGGCCACCACCTCTCTGTGCACGGTGGCCTCACACAGCGGATTGCAAAGGGCGCAAGTGAGGGGAGAGGGCAGACGGGCTCTTCTCAAGAGCCACTTCTTATCTTGGAGGAGGAGATTTATTCTCAGAAGCCCCTCCAGTGAACTTCCATCTCACTGGCCCAAACTGGACCACATGGCTACCCGGAGCTCGAAGGAGCAGGAAAGCAAATACCTGGCAGTGGGGAATGGGATTACCTTGTGGCTTAGACCAATCATGGTTTCCCAGGTTACCTGGACAAAATCAGGGTTCTTGTGGCAAAGAAGGTGGCAATAACCGCCACGAGTGTGGCAGCAACTGTTGGTGTTTTAAAATGAGGTAATGAAAACAAATATGGATCGTGTATTTCTGTGCACCAAACACTGTTCTAAGCTTCACTGGGGCTTGCCTCCTCAGTCATTATCATCACTTCCATTGTGTAGGAGAGGGAGGAAACTGAGTCACAGGTTAAATATGCACAAAATTACTTAGCTGGGAAGTGACAGAGCCAGGATTAGGTAAGGTGATAAGATACTCCAAGTAGCACACATTAAGTACACGTTACTAATACCAGCTAGCATGTATCAGCATGTTAGTATTACTATCACTACAATCTCTTCTCCATAACCCTCCTACCAATCAGGCTTAATCATGAGCCTTATTCATGAATGAGAAAGCCAACCCCCAACAGGGTTACATAACTTGCTCCGGTCAGCCAGTGGGTGAGAATGGAACTTGAAGGCAGACCTAAGCTCTCTGACCGCCTAGACCCAGCAGGTTTGTTTATGCCACTAGCTCCCAAGTTCAGGGCTGTTGATTTCATGGCTCTGCTACTTACCTGAGACACTGATCCAGGACTTAATCTGGAAAACTACAATTAAGGAATGGTCAGAAGTCAGGGAAGGATGCTGAAAAAGATGGGATGGTAATTTGGAAACAATTTTTGTCCTTGTGTTACAGCTTTTGAGACACTTCTGGGTTTTTTTGGGTTTTTTGGTTTTTTTTTGTTTGGGTTTTGTTTTGTTTTTGTTTTTTTGGCTCTAAGCAGAATATCATAAACAGAATATCTCATCCAGCCTCAGCAAAGGCTCCCTGTGATGTCATGGTTCTTGGCTAATCAGAATGGCTACACTTATTAAGCACCTATTGTATACCAGATGTAGGCATACACTGTCCCATTTGGTCCTTGTGGATGAATAATCAACCATCTATAGCCATAACTTTTTCTGTGCCATGAGATGAGGGAGAATGGAGTCTTCCAAAGATAGCAGTATTAGAACATTCCAGATGCCCAGACAGATGACACCCAATTCTCTGAGTTGGCCTCTCTGTAATGCTCAAATATTTAATAAGAATAGTAGGCATGGTCAGCTGATCTTAAGTTTGAACAATTCTGGTTTTATTTTAAAGCAAGATGTGTGGTGTGGTTTTACTATTTTTTTCAGTCTAAAGGTCACCCGATTTTTCTCTTTCTGCTCATAGTCATGAGGCATCCTTATCTAAACAGTGATCTATTGTTCTGGTTCTCAGACCCACAGAGATTTTTACTTTTTTTTTTTTTTTTAAAGATTTTAGTTATTTATTTGACAGAGAGAGGGGGGGACAGCGAGAGAGGGAACACAAGCAGGGGGAGTGGGAGAGGGAGAAGCAGGCTTCCCGCGGAGCAGGGAGCCTGATGTGGGGCTCGATCCCAGGACCCTGGGATCATGACCTGAGCCGAAGGCAGATGCTTAACGACTGAGCCACCCAGGCACCCCAGATTTTTTCTTCTTAACTTCAATTTTAACAGGACAGTTCCTCATTTTCCCCGACTGCTTGAAAAGTATCTAACAGGAAAAAAAATGTCTCTAGTGGGCTTTCCAAAAATCTTCTTAAACTGAGTCCGCTATGGAATATTTTATGCAAATAAGTCACTTTCTCTTAGGTTACGACATCTTTCCCTTGAAAAGTGATCACGGCATTGGAGAAATCCTTGCTAGCTTATCTTTTCTTTCCAGCTCAACCTCAACAAAGAAATATAGACGGCACTTTAAAGGCTTCAGAAATCAATTTAGTCCATGAATCCATTTACTTGAGATGTTAATGAAACTTGGTAGGTTTAAAAATAATGAATGTTTAATAAGACATAAATTGAAAGACATAAACACTGTCAGCAATAATATAATGAAGTTAATAAGTCTTAGCCTCCCCCTGTATACCTCCCCTCTCCCCAAACAGGACAATTTTAAGAGTTCCAGTGAGGCTTACTGGAGTTTACCAGCTGTCCCATTGGCTAAGACTTAAATGTGAGTTTGGAAACCTGAGTACAATTGGGAACTGAGCTCTGGCAGATCAAGTATGCTATCACACTGTACTGAGTAGCTGCAGACAGTAATGGCTCGCTCTAGCTCCGTATCTTCCAGAGATTTGTGTAACAAACTCAGTTTCCTGTCGTTGAAGGCAGGAAGCAGCGTGAAGCTCTTCATGCCTTGAACCAAGAAAGACCAAGACATTTTGTTCGACACTCACTCTGCCCTGGGTTTCAGAGGGGCTTTATCTAATGATGGGGAGCAAGCATGTGATTATATGTGCTCAATACTGCCGACCACTGAAATGCCTTTTGGGTTGGAAGTTGAGCTTTATGTTTCTTCTTCAAGAGCATTAGCACCACGTCCAGCCCTTCTGCTTAGTTCCTCTTTAGCTCTGTGGTTCTGTCCTAACCCACCAGCCATGACCATATCTTTCCCTTTTTACCTTTGAATTAATTACCCTGTCTTTGGGCTTTGCATTGCATCAGTCTGGTAAATCCACAGTCCCTCCTTTCTGCCATCACACCCAATAAGATGGTCTGCCTCACATCTTGGGAAGTGGCTTGTTTAACCTCACAGGAGCCAATCCCTAGCTAAAATAATTTGCAGCAGGATGGTGCAAATCATCAAGCATGAGATTGTCTCCCTCCCAATTCAACAGTGGGCTCTTTCTTGGCAATAAAGTGGAACTCGGTTTCATATATCAACTGGGGGAGTGTTAAATGGATGGCCAGCTCACTGCTGGCAATCAATACATGTTAATACATAGTAAACAAATGGCTTTTCATGGGTTGGGCAAGCGTGGTGATCCTGCAGATAAAGGCGCTAAGCGGTTGCTCCTCGGGATCTTGTCTAAGAAAATGTATTTGGGGCTCAAGGAGGATCCTTCCTAGGTGGGCATGAGCGATTACTGTTGCTAAATATGATCCTTTTTTCATTTGTGCGTTTGTGTGCATGTTCAGAAAGAAGGGGAGCCACCTGAGAGAGTCCAACCAGTCGCCTCATCTACCTTGATCCATTCCGACCTGACATCCGTTTATGGCACCGTGGTAATGAACAGGACTGTTTTGTTCTTGGGGACTGGAGATGGCCAGTTACTTAAGGTTGGTTTTCTGTGCCTTCTTCAATGTCAGTTTTCATAGTGATCCATTTTGTGCTTTTACATTTATTTTCTTTATTGTTTCCGGGTTATACGCGAGATCATACCAACTGCTTTGTGAACTGCTCAGAGACCCTCAGAAATGACCACAAAGAGGTTTCTGGAAATCTGTATGTGATGGCCTCCCTAACTGTGTAATGAAACTCCAGCCGTCTTGCTTCTCAGGAGCGTGCAAGTTACCCTCCCTCCCTTACTCATGAGCTGCCTCAGGGAGGTAAATGGGGGTCTGGCCCGCCCCCTCCCTCAGACCACCTTCTTAAGACATTTAACCTTTCGGTTCATATCTCCTTTGTAATGGAAATGTACAATGCACCTGATTTCTCACAACTTGAAACAGATGAGGGATCATAAGGCTTGAAAAGTAGAAAAAAACAGGTGTTCCTTCCCTCCAGCCTACTTGCCACCCATGGAGGGGTTTTGTTTTCTGCCTTTTGTGCCCACACCACGGAGAGGTTAGAGACCTGAAATCCTCTGAGACTCCCCCTGACTTTTATCTCGGAGGACTATTTTTTCCCCACTGTATGGGTATACCACTGGTCAAGTTGGGATTTTTATTCACTGGGGGGCAGGGAGGCAGTGGGAGGGGGAGAAAATGAACTCAGGGATACCTAATGACTTGTCTGAAGTGATAGAGCAGCCAGCCTCTCAATTTCATCAGCAAGCGTTTATTGAACACCTCCTGTGGCCTCCATCAACATTCGTGGCTGGGAACGGCACGGTTTCTGTCACCTTAGGCTGATGCTCCTCTGCCTTCTGGTGGCCAGTTGATTTACTGTCAGCTCGGATTCTAAATTGAGTACAAATAGATTTGATTTCTCAACTGATCTCCCATCGACAACTAGCTGGGTGACTGTAGGTGAATTGCCTGACCTCTCTGAGCTTCCCTGTCCTCATCTGTAAAAGGAGATTATGCTAGACAACCCAGAAAACCCCTTTCTCTCCTGAAGGTCTGTAATTCCATCTTCCGTGCACTTAGCCCCCACTCTAGCCGAAACCTCTTTGCTTGTCCCACTGATGTGCCTTGTGTAGTCCGGTGCCCCCCACCTTTGTTGACCCTGTGCCCCCTTCCGGGATGGCTTTTTTTCCTCTACTGAATCTACGTACCTATGCTTTGGCTCAGCTCATGCTCCCCCTCGTCTTTGAGGCCTCCGAAGCCCAGAGTGATCGTGTTTTACTCATTGGCCATCTCATTCTTTTGGCTCATTACAAATGTCTTGTTTTGATGCCCAACCTTTTCACTCATGTTTGTCTTACCTCCCCAACTTGATTTTTTAAGCTTCTCGAGAAGGGGGTCCTGAATCCCCACAGCCTAATAAACGCTCCGCGCCTGGTAGGCATTTGATTTCATCTGTTTTCTTTGGAGGAAACCCAGTAACATATGGGAGGGCGTTTGTTTGAATACACATTCTTTTAAAATATACATTGATCATCTTTCCTGTTGCGTTAGCCTGATTTCCTGGGGAAAGGTAAACACCCATCAGTCATTTCTACACAAGTTGTTTGGAGCCGTGCGGTGACATCCGCGGCTCAGGCGGATTGGTCCCATTTCACCTGACCAAGGAAGAGGCCATCAATCCTTCCCGGGCCTCCTCGCCAATTATCTCTTCAGATTGAGGATATTTCCGATGAGTTTTGTGACAAGAACACGGTTTCCCCAAAGCTGAGCCAACCAAATGGCTGCATGGTAAATTGGAGGTGAAGGAACCCTTGGCTGTCGATCATTCCCCGGGGGGCAGCCTGGTTTTGCTTGTCCTGTTGGCTCTCTCCAGCAGTTGGTGTGGAGCTGGTCAGTTTGCAGTGACGGTTTGTGGCGCCGGAGGGCTGGGGCCCTCAAGCTGCCGAGAAAGAGGTAGCTGACTGCAGCGTGGCTTTCCTCAGTGTCTGTGTGGGGTACGCCTTCCAAAGCTGTCCCTGCGGCCTTGGTTTTAGGGTCCAGAACACATGGGCAGGTTGGTTTGGGGGTTTATTTTGTGACTGCTGACATTTGTGCGTCGTTTCCCTTGTGCCTGTCACTCTACGTGTTCTAGCCAATTCCGTCCAGTCCACAGCGCTGTGAGGTAGTTATAGACTAGGCCCGTTTTACCGGTAAGGGAAGGGAGGCCCAGAGAACACGGATGTTTTGCCCAAGGTGCACAGTGCAGAGCAGAGATTTGAACCTGGTGTGACTCCAGAGTCTGCACTAATATCCCCCGAGCTACACTGAGTTTGTAATCTCTGCCCCAACCACTCTCTGAGGGTTCCCTGGGGAGAATGGGAAGCATGTTGATAGGGATCCATGGAGGGGCGGTGGCAGTGGAACCCATGCTCCCAGGCTGTCAGTCAGGGTTTTTAGAAGCTCCGGGAAGAATCCCAGCTCTAGAAGGAGGCAGACCATCTGACTGAACGGATACCTGAATGGCATGAAAACTTCCTGGGAGTTAAGCCCTGCTCCCGGCTTCACTCAGGAAGGTCCCTTCCCTCAGGAGGAAGTTGGGAGGGACAAATCTGAACTGACTTGGCCCCACCAGGCTCCCTAGACCAGCCCAGTAATTCCCAAGACTTCCCCATGCAGATTCTTGGAGGCAGCCTGTGAAATTACCCAGAGTCCCAAGCCCCAGGATTGTGTCGATGATTGGGAAGGCACAGACCATCCCCGAATCCCTTTACTCAAACACTTCAAGCTTCTCGCTTGCCAGACTTGTCACCAGAACTGTTAGAAAAGACGAACATTGATAGACACAAGCTTGGCTTCTTAAGCCACAGAGAGGAGGTACTAATGAGCAACGAAAAACAAAACCTAACCCGAGGCAGCCTGTGGGAGAAGAAGAAAGAAGGCTTGGATCACCCACAGCCTGACTCATCAGTTTCCCAGTGATGAAGAGTTGGCAGCATTTTGACAGATGCCAGGCACTGTAGTATATGCCTGGTTGGATGAGGGGCAGGAAACAGCAGTTGGGGGCCAATTGCTGTGGTTTTTTTTGTTTTGTTTTTACCACTACACACACACACACACACACACACACACACACACTCTCACACTCACACTCACACACACTCTGACTTAAGTCTCTGAAAACCTCACAGAATTTTAGCATAGTTTGGTGCAGTTTTAAACCTCAGGTTATTTAAATAATTTTTTCTTATCCCAAAAGTAATATATTATGTTCCTAGAGAAAGTTACAAAGTAACGGGGTGAGGAGAAAACAGAAAAAACCCCACCCCTAGTTCTGTTATGTAGAGGCAATTGATGATAGCATTTTAGATTTTTTTTTTTTGTACAGTTGAGGTCAGACTCTATCCGATTCTGCACCCATTTTTTTTCCTTTAGTTAATGAGGGGGAAATGCCTGTATTAAAATGTTATGGCAAACCCTTTGTAAACAGTATTTTTAAATAGCTGGATCATATTCTGTAATGTGGAAACATGACGTTGGACTTAGGCAGAGATACTGAGTCACTTTGCAAGTGTCCTTAAAGCCCCGTGCGGCCTCCAGGGAATATGGGTCACCTCCAAAGGGAAGATTTTACTGAGGAGAAGTGGAGAGACTGAAGACTTGACGATATGCTAATGTCTTCACTGCCCTCTTGCTCCGGCCTTTATTCCTAGGTCCCCTTGTAAGATTTTTAGAAAAATGGAAGGAATTTACAGAACTTACAAGGGTCCTTTTCACAGTGTAATCCTCCCCCTTGCTTTATTGAAGCGTGATCCTTGTGGCTAGGAGTTGGGTTGTGTCATCACTCTTTCCCCCTGGGGTTATTTCCTCATTTTACTTCCTTTCTGGAGAAGACTGCTTGCTGTACATTCTCGGTTGTCAGCGTCTTCACTGAGATCAGCTGAGCGAGGATGGGCACGCTGAAGTCAGCTTTTGGGGCTTCACAGCTCATGTGTTGCAAGCCCACACACTGCAGAGCACACCCGTGTTTATACACACGTGCCGAATCTTTGTCTGGGTTGTGGTACAGCCTATCATGGGGTTTGGATTCTTTGAGCTGACTGTCGCATCTAGAAAATTGTCCCGACTTCAAGGGCAGAATTAAATATTTTGAGCTTCTCCAGGTGGTAAAATAAGTAATAATGGAATATGCATGAAATTTGAAATTTGTAACTTTATGCATGCCCATTAACCTTTCTTGTAAGCATAAGAGATAAGGCAGTAGGTGAGGCATAATAATAGCTAACATTTCTGAGCTCTAACTTCTGTGCCAGGCATTAGAATGAGTGTCTGCCTGGTTTAACTTCTTTCATTCTCATGAGTCAATAGTGTTACCATCCCTAACTTTATGAATGAAAAAAGACCTTGCTCGGAGCAAGTTACCTAGCTTGCTCAAAGTGATGGAACTAAAGCAACTCGTCCCTCAACCAAACTGCACTGCTAATTAAAAATTCAGGTCTGCAGATCTTGGTGGAATTTGTGGAACTGTTTTTGTTTTGTTTTTAAAATTTTCTTTCAAATATTGGAGTATCTGGGTTAATACCAAGATGCAAGTATTTGAGGTTTCATGAGAAGGGGCTCTGGCTTCTGTGGTTTTCATTTGTTCCTATTTGGGGATGGCATCTGGCAGCCCAGCAGAGTGCAGACATCTGTATTTAGAAGAAGGCAGAGGCTCTTCCTCTGAGCTGCAAGTAGCTCATGGGAGCCTCTGAATCCCTTGTGGGACAGCTTTTCCCCCGTGGGCTCTTTGAGAGCAAAGGTAGGAAATCTATGTTCAAGTTGATTTTTGGAGTGGCTCTTGTAGTAGGAGGCTAGTGTTGGGTTTCTCAAACGTCCCTAGGACTGAAGTAGGTTTCAGGGTGCAGAAGCCCTATCATGCGTGTCCCTTCCCTGTATTGAGCAGAGAAGCACTGCTCACGCTGCTTAGAGTGAGGACTGATTATGTGGCCCTCAAAGCTCAATTTCCACAGGTGGATTTCATTTATCCAAGCCATGGAGCAAAATTCAGACCAGTTCCAGAAAGTTCTTCTGTA